GCAGGGGAGGCAGTGTGGAGTTTTCATTTCTCTCACTTTGTCCTGTCTACTTTTTTGGGGCGAGGTGATGGGGGATGGAAGGCTGGAGACAGCTTAAACAAACTGCTCCAGAAAGGAGCCTTCTAAAAATACTTGCTTTCAAAAACTAAAACAAAATCTTTCACTTTAAAATATTTTAATGAAATTTTTTTGTTAAAACAAAGAATCTCACTCACCCTTGTGAAAAATGTTGATTCTTCACAAAATGGCCATACTCTATCAGACCAATGGTCCATCGAGCCTGATATCCTGTCTTCCGACCGTGGCTGGTCCCAGATGCTTCAGAGGGAATGCATAGAATGGGACAACTTATCGAGTGATCATCTCCTGTTGGCCAGTCCCTGCTACTGGCAGTCAGAGGCTTAGGGACACCCGGAGCATGGGGTTGTCTGACCATCTTGGCTAATAGCCATTGATGGACCTATCCTCCATGAATTTATCTAATTGTTTTTTTTAACTCAATTATACTTTTGGCCTTCACAATATCTCCTGGCAATGAGTTCTACAGGTTCACTGTGTGTTGTGTGAAGAAGTACTTCCTTATGTTTTAAGGCTGCTGCCTATTAATTTCACAGGGTGACCACTGCTTCCTCTGTCATGTGAAGGGGTAAATAACACTTCCTTATTCACTTTCTCCACAGCATTCATGATTTTGTAGACCTCAATCATATACCCCCTTAGTCGTCTCTTTTCCAAGCTGAACGGTCCCAGCCTTTTGAATCTCTGTCTTCAATCCAATCTAATTTAAATCTGCTCTCTCAGAACCCTGCTGTCTCCGGGCATGGATGCTGATTTCAAACAGACACTGGTGCTCAAACCCTAAATGCAGTCGTAGAAAAGTGTTGACACATTGGAGGGGTTTCATGGAAGAACCATGAGGATAATTAAAGGATTGAAAACGTGTTATAGGGACAGACTGGAGGAGCTCAATCTATTTAGTATAAACTATAGCTACTTAGTGTAACACTCTGTCCCCCTCTAGTGGTAGCTAGGCCAACTAGCGCTTCTACCTGCTACAGCTTTTGGCTCTTTTAGCTAGGGGCAGAAGAGGCTCATGAATTAAGATCCAGAGCGTTAGGATATAGATATTCAGGCCTGTCTGCAAAGGTCTATACTTTAAGAATTTACGTGTATTCTTATCACTTAGCTAGTTATAGAGGTGTAACCCTTCTGCCCATCTAAGTTGGCAGCAACAAGGGCCGGATTC